CATTAAATATAATTTCATACTGGTTTTAGAGGTAGCTGAGATATTTAAGTCACATTAAATTTATCTAATCACTAGCCTATTTCTGTGTAAGCCTACTTTAGCTACTGCACAAGTCAAAAATAGTTCTCCCCAAATCAGGGTATAATTTATATACTGCATATCAATTTATGTTATAAATAATACTTTGAAGTTTGGAGCTAGGTCTATGTATCTGATAGTAAGAACTATTTTTTATGTTGCTAAGTCAAGACTTTGACCTTATTAGCCTGAAATGTTTGTCTAAAATCTCTGGTTTCAGTTTAGAGATACTAGTTTTATCATTTAGTACGGCATATAGGGCACTTGCTTTGCACATGGTGACTTGGGTTTCATTGCCAGTACCTAATTTGGTCCCCTGAGTCTACCAGAAGCAATCCTTGAGAGCAGTCAGGAGTAAGCCCCAAGCAAAACCAAGGTGTGTCCCCCTCCCTCCCCCCAACCCCTAACCAATACATAACAAACAAACAAAAGAAATAAAAACTAGTTCAATCTTTTGTTCTTTATTTTGGGAGGAAAATTCCTTTGAGTGATTTTAAGTGATAATCATTTTGGTACAAGGTATGTTTGTAAACAAACTAACACAATGTTGTTAATTTTACTGATTAAGAAGTAGCAATTGGTTGGAGATAGAACAGTAGTAAAGGCACTTGCTTTGTATGTGGCTTGGTTTAAATCTTCAGCACTGTGAGAGGAGAATCTGAACAAGAACCAGAGATGGCAAAAGAAAAAGAAAAACGAGGGGGGAGAGAGAGGGACAGACAGACAGAGACAGAGAGAGACATAGAGTGAGAGAAAGAGCAAGAGAGAGAGATGGAGAAGTATACAGATTAATTTCTTTTTCTGGTGAATTTAGGCTTAATCTTTCAATCAACATCAATTAAATGATATCATGTGGGCATTTTGTTCTGTGGAAAAGAGAAGCAAACAGGAAAAAAAAAATCTTGGAAGGCAGATGACAATAGTGAAGGCAATAGGGAAGAATCAACGAAAGGACAAAGTATTAAAACAGAATGAAGGTCCAAGCTAGTGGTTTAGTGGTCTTAAAAATATTTACTGACATTCCTGTTAGCTAATTTTAGGAAACAACATGCCCCTGACATATTTAGCCTCTAAAATTTTCAACACAAATAAAATAATTGTACATAACAATTTCCAGCATACTTTAAATATTGTCATAAAATAATTTTCTGATTTTCTAAATGTGTTTTTCTGAGTATAAAAAAAACAGAACAATTTGACACCTATCATCAGCTATTATAAAAACAACTATGAACCTCTTCAACAAATAGAGATTTATCTTTACTCTGAATTTTATATTTCACTTTTTCCCACAGAATTTAATCCATATGTAATAAAATATACTTTTATAATTCCTTGATTAATTACCGACATTGAATTTTGTAGACAAATGCATATACTTGTACTTTATTGTTTCTAATTATATATGACTATGAAGTTAATTATATACATGTATTAAGATTTACTCAAACTGTAATTATCATTATTTAGTCAAAACTATATCACTCACAAATTTATATAAATAGTAGATTGTGTGATATTTAGTTAGCATTTAGTAACTATATGAATATCATTTCTAACATAAGTTTTAATATAACATTCTTTTTTTACCTGCTATAATTACTAGATGATATTTAAATATACCTGCGTATGACTATTAGTTCAAGTCAATTGTGAAACCAAAATGTTTTATTATGACAATGTCACTAATTTGTTTGTCTGGCATGGCTAAAAATAGTATAAAACTTATTTAAGAACCAGAGAGAAAGCAGAAGTAAGGTCTTGCACACACCTGGGTTCCATCATTCACACCACCTATGGTCCCCTGATCACTCAGTGAGTGATCATTGAGCACAGAACCAGGAGTAAGCCCTGATAACTTCTAGTTGTGGGCTAAATTTTTTAAAATTATCTGTAATGCTTTATAAGTTGATATCCAATTATATTTTCCTTAAATTGTTTTAGTTAGAAGCAACTCATTTAAAAGTATTTCTATTACACAACAGAGATGCTTGTCTGGGAAGTAAATAAGCAAAGGAGTTATTAATATGATTTCAGGAATGGCTGTTAATTATCACCATATTTTTCACTTAGAAGCATCTCATTTAGCACATTATGTTCAGAACAGTTGAGAAAATAAATGTTATTAATTTCAGTATATGCATGCCATATGGTTTTGTGTCAAAACTTTTCAATTAGTTACTATAACATTATTTCACATTCCTGCTCTGTGTTGATTTCTAAACCTGCACACTTTACATCATGTTATAAGCCAATCTCATTTCAATTGGGAAAATACTTTTCTTACTTACACTCTCAATCTACTTTTACCCTACCTATAACTTTTTTTCTTCCTAATTATCACATTCTAGCTCTAATTTAGTCTGTTTAACCCATTCTGAGAGTGGTAGCTAAAAAAAAAAAAAAACTAAAATTTTTGTTTGCTCTATATTTTCAAAATTCCTAGAATAATTCTTGAATTTAACGTGTTAAGAATTAGTTTTAATAAAAATCATTGAGACCGCATATATACTTCATTAATTAAAGAAAATGCCTTTATAGAGTTAATTGCCATCCAAACCCATAGAATGTTCAATATTAAGAATACCCTAGAGTGTAATCTATGAACTGCGATGATTAAAAAGTATAAATGTAGATTTATTAGTGATAATAAAACTCTGGGGGAGCATAGATGCATACACAGTATGTAGTCTAGGAAAGACAGCCTTGTGTATGAAAGGAAGCATTGGAAAAGTTTTGTTATTTTCTTTTCAATTTTGCTGTGAACCAGAAAACATTCTTTAAAATTGTACTTCAAGGGACTGGAGAGAGAGTGCAGTGGGTAGCATGCTTGCCTTGCACTAGGTCAACCCAGTTGGGATCCCCAGCACCCCGTATGGTCCCATTAGCCCTTACCTGAAGTGATCCCTGAGCTCAGAGTCAGGAGTAAGACCTGAGCACTGCAGGGTGTAGCTCCCAAACAAACAAATCTGCTTTAAAACACAAGTGTAGGATAACATTGTTTTGTCCTTCCTGCATAGCCTCAGGTAGTTTAGGTTGATTGGGTTGCTCTCATCACAGTGCTTCCTTCCCTCTAAGTTCTTTTGTAACTTCTTTCTTTGTGCTCCCTTGACTTGTAAACATTGTTTTTCTCTTCTCCTTAAGTCCTTTGTATAGTTTATTCAGAGCAATGTCCTTTTTGTAGGGCACAGGAAGACAGTAGTAAATGCTATGCTTTTGTTATGGGGGAGTCATTTGACTCTAAAAGATGTATTTCTACTGGTGTATTTCTACTGGGCATCTGTTCTCTCGACCTAAGCCTCAACTGTGCTTACTTCCTAGCACCCCCAGATGCAGGGTCCCCAGAAGGGACTGGATGGACCCAAAGCAAGCGATGAGTTAAGTGCTACGGTGGCATCCAGATGGGCCTGGCCAAAGTGCCTAATGCGTAACTATAAATTAAGAGCTTGGGCATGGACAAATTCTGTCATCATCCAAAAAGTAATAATCAGATTTGGATCCTGCTAGGGTTAGGAAAGATTATTCTGGCCTGAGCCTGTAGTCTGAGTCTGTGGCAAGATGATCCCAGGAGAGCTGCCCTACAAGTTTCAATGTATCTCTTACAGTGTCCATACAAAAATAACTAAAGGAGAAAAACACCTTAAGGGCTAAGTTCATCAGGAAGGGCTTCCTTGTGTTATTTTTACTGCCAGACTGGGTGGAGCATGTACCAGGAGGGCAAGCTGGAGAGAGATAATTATGGGTGGAGAGAGACTGGGGGGGAGGGGGTCAGAATCGCGAGAGGAGAGGGCGAACCCAGGCTGTGAGATGCTGCAGTGTGGAGAGATGAGCTGGGATGGAGGAATGAGGGGCAAGGAAGGAAGAATGTGTGAGATTGGAGAGATGACAGATTGAATAAACAGTAACTAGTTAGCTACCAGCCTGGTCCTCTTTTGTTTGCCTGCCCATCACCTAAAACTGTCCAGATTCTGTCCATACACAGTGGCTCTAGAGCACCAGTCACTGTCCAGAGAGCCTGGGAACACACACCCTTCCACGGCGTGCTCTTTACAAACAAACAAATAGGCAAATCCTAAAAATGTATCAGGACATCCTACAAACTGTCTGCTTAACAGAACTGCTCAGGCTAGCAGAAAAATGGAAAATTCGAAAAACTTTCATAGTCCACAGTAGCTCAAAGGAGCCATTAGATGTTAGTGTAATGTAACACATGGGATAGGTGGTAGGGAAGAAAAAGAACACCAAATAAATACTAACGAAATCTAAGTAAAAAGTATGAAAATAATTGCTATTAGTGCATTCATTACAACAAATATAAAATACAAAAATAAGTTATAGTAGGGGAGCTAAGGGAGAGCCCGGCAAGCTACCGAGAGTATCTCGCCCCCACGGCAAAGCCTGACAAGCTACCCGTGACGTATTCGATATGCCAAACACAGTAACAACAAGTCTCATGATGGAGACATTACTGGGCCCGCTCAAGCAAATCGATGAACAACGGGAGGACAGTGACGGTATGACACTAGCTTTAATTCTTCGATAAATATTTTTTAAACTACTAATACATTTTGTTTTTTGAATTTTCTATTTTTCAAACTTATTTAAAAATAAATCTACTAAATATATTTAAGTTGTTTAAAAATGCCTGGATCTGTCTTCAAGGCATTGATCTATCTTACTTCTAAGTTCAAAATCTAAAGCAGCTAGATGAAAAAGTGGGATAGAGACAGTTTGATAGGTGAAATTAGAATAAAGTGATGAGGCAGGTTTTGTCTATTGTGAACAGCACTGCAATGAACATATAGGTACATTTTTAAAGATTCAATAAAATTAATTTTTTTAATAAAAATAAAAAAAATAGGCAGAACTTTACCATCCTCAAGTCTTACTACAGGAGCTCCAGGAGGTGTAAGACGTGCACCATGTCTGAGATGGTTTCCCTTAGTGGAAGAACAAGGAAGAAGAACTCATTACAAGTCCGTCTCCTGGACCTGACTAAGTGGACGCTGCTGAAGCACCAAGACTTGGCCATTACCTCTCTGGAAACCCTTCCCTCAGAGCTCTTCCCACAACTCTTCCTGGACGCCTTCCATTTCAGATGTACAGAGACAGTGAGGGCCGTGGGGCAGGTCTGGCCCTTCCCCACTCTCCCACTGGGGAGGATGTTACATGAAATTTTTCCTTATATGAAAAGTTTAGAAGCAGCATTAGAGGGAATTGATGTGTGGCTTGGCCAGGAGGTTTGCTCCAGGAGGTGCAAACTGCAGGTGCTGGATTTCCGTCCTATTGGTGATCAATTCTGGTATCAATGGTGTGGTACCCCTGTTAGATGGAGCTCAAAGGGGAAGGCACCACGTCCCGTAGAAAGTTCCAGAAAAGGACACACCTCTGCTGGCTTGGAGGTTGTTGTAGATATTACTGTCTGCATGGTCCCCTCCCTAAATTAATGGCCTACATCCTTAACTGGGTGAAGGAGAGAAAAGATGTTTATCTGTGCTGTAGAAAGATGATGTTTCTGCATATGCCCATCTATGACATCTGCCTGAGCACTATTGAACTGAGCTGTGTCCAAGAAGTAGAAGCAGAATTAAACTGGAAAATGGCCACTCTGGAATTGTTTGCTCCTGTCCTGGGCCAGACGAAGAACCTGCAGAGACTCACTTTATGTACTGAGGTGCCTAACCACCTCTGCCCTGAGTTGCTGAAGTATCAACGGCAGTTTGACCCTGTTTTCTAATCAGTTCCTCCGGCTGCACCACCTTCGGGAGCTCTATCTGGACTCAGCCACCTTCCTCAAAGGACATCTGGACCAGCTGCTCAGGTGCCTGAGGACCCCTTTGGAGAGCTTGCCCCTCACAGAATGTCCACTTCTAGAGCGAGACTTGACACATCTGTGACAGTGCCCCAACCTCACCCAGCTGAAGGAGTTGAATCTGGCAGGCACCAACCTGAGCCTGGTGAGGGAGCCCCTGCGTGTGCTGCTGGAGAACTGTGCGTCCACCCTGCAGGACCTGGACTTAGGAATGTGCAGACTCCGTGACTCTCAACTGGAGGCCATCCTGCCTGTGCTGAAACTCTGCTCTCAACTCAGGATCCTGAACCTCCGTGGGAACTGCATGTCCATGGCTTTCCTGGTCCAGATGCTGCACCACCTGGCCATACTGCCCCACTTAACGCTGGAGATCTATCCGGCCCCACAGGAGAGCTACAGTGCTCTGAAGATGCTCCACCAAAGGACCTTTGATCTGCTTTGTGCAGAGCTGAGGGGGGTTCTCAAGAATTTAGGAAAACACAGGTTGATCATGGTGAGCACTGAGCCCTGTTCTTGCCATGGAAAGACTATTCTTCACAACAGTGAGCCCAGGATGTTTCCTGGCTCCTTTTGCCGTTGTCAAACTCAAAATATTTCATTTCCAGAATGAGAAAGAGAAGAGAGCTACCCGGTGTCTATACAGGGACACAGATGTATGGTCTCAAGGGAGGTTCATGAGATGGTCAAAACCGGGATGCGTAGCTGGTATCTTTGTGGGTGGTTTTTGTACTGGGGAACACTAGGGGATTCAGGAACTTGTCTCAAGAATCAGATGTAATCAAGAATCAATAATCAGAATTATTGAACCATTTTATCCTTTGGGGTATGTGCGAGAGAGTGTTCTTAATGTAGAATGTTTATTAGAAGGTCAGAAATGAAGAGATGAGGTCTGTGGCTGGGACTCAGCAGAGCACACACCTCATATTGAAGACCAGTGTTCCATCCCAGACAGTACACAAATAAAATGGAACTTTGAAGAAAAAATAAAAAAATAAAAAGAGGCAAGGCTTAGGGCTTTTCCCTGAGCTAGTGATCTCTAGTAACCTAGAGTTGCCTCCTTTAGTATATCTTAGTTGACTTCTTCTCCAGGGCACTGTATTTATTGAAGACAGTCCAGAGATGAAAGGGAGGATAAGAATAAGGATCTTCTGTATGCTAGGCATTTGAAACATTTCTACAAAAGATACAATCCAGAATTTCAAACATCAAAATTTTACTGTAAGAGATTATGATTCCCCATAATCTCTCTCTACTTTTGGGCACCATGGTTTGCAATACAGACACTGAGAGGTTATCATGTTTGGTCCTTCTTAGTTTGATGTAGTCCTGTTGGTTCATGTTTGCTTCCACTTGCGTGGTCAGTGCTGTTTCATCCTTAAAGATGCTTTTAGCTTCAATATCATGGAGAGTTCTGCGTACATTTTCCTCTATGTACCTTGTAGATTCATGTCTTACATTCAGGTCTTTAATCCACTTTGATCGGACTTTTGTGCCTGGCATTAGACAGAGGTCAGAGTTCATTTTTTTTTTTTTTGCAGGTAGCTACCCAGTTTTCCCAGCACCACTTGTTGAAGAGGCTTTCCTTGTTAACTTCACATTTCTTGCTCCTTTGTCAAAGATTAAGTGGCCATATATTTGGGGGTCTATGACAGAATATTCAACTCTGTTCCATTGATCTGCAGGTCTGTTTCTAGCCCAGTACCATGCTGTCTTGATTACTACTGCTTCGTAGTACAGTTTGAAGTTGGGGAGGGTGATGCCACTCATCTCCTTTTCCCAAGGATTGCTTTATCTATTCGTGGGGGTTTGTTGTTCCATATAAATTTCACGAGTGTTTTGTCTATTTCTTTGAAAAATGTCATGAGTATCCTGATAGGGACCCAAGGCACTATACAAAATGTATTGCCATTTTGATAGTGTTAATCCTCCCTATCCATTAACCTGCTTTTTAAAACGAAATTTTAGACCATATGGGTTCTCTAGCTAACCCTCACCCCAAGAAGGTTCATGATTAAATGACATATTGAATGTTCATTTGAGTAGAAAATAAATAAATTTCATCATTTCTTAGGCAGCATAGTTGATTGTTGAGGTACATTTCAGTGCCAGCTCTGTTTCCTTCCTGGTCTTTTAAATGTAGACTATTATTACTGATTTGAATTTATAGTGCATTCTCACTTTGCTTTGTATTTCTCTGATAATCAGTAATGGTGAGCATTTTTCACATGCCTTTTTTTTTAAGAAAGTGTTTATTCAGCTCTTCACTCTATTTTTTGATGAAATTATTTGTTGTTCAGTTTTATGATATTTTTAATGTATAGGGCAAATTTTTTATTGTTTCGGGCCCTTTGTCAGGTGTATGTTATATTAATATTATTTATTGCTCTACTATTTAGCATATGATTTTATTTTAACTATAGTTTCTTTAGTTCTAGGTCTATTTGTTTATTTTTACTTTGGTTTTCTTGACCTATGTGGTTGGAAATCTGTATGCTCTTGGAGACATCTCTGAAATCAATATCATGTAGAGTTCTGCCCATTTTTCTTAGTTTATTTTTAAGCCTGCAGGTCTATTTCTTAAGGTATTTAATACATTTTGAATGAACTTTATGTTGTGATCTAGGGGGTTAGTTTCTTTTTTTTCTTTCATTTTCTCAAATGTGGCTAATGGTTTATTTTACACCATTTATAAAAAGGGATTTCACTTTTTTTTTACTTAGGGTCCTTTATCTGTCCTAATGTTTTATCCAGAATGCTATATTTCCTTTTGTCATAGCATTCTCAATACCCACAAATAGTATACTTTCTTTGACATATTTCTTACCTACAAGGGTATTCCTTCTGTACTAGTTTCAAAAATCCCCAGTGTTTCTACTAAATCGAAATATGTGACATTACCTAGAGGTAGTCCTGCTATATTTCATCTTCTTCACAGACATATTTAGCTTTTCAGAATTTGTATGTGTGGAGGAGAGGAATTGTTTGGGCCACCCCTGGCAGTGCTTGGGGCTTACTCCTGGCTCTCTTGCTTAGGGGCTTAGGAATCACTCCTGACAGTGCTCAGGGCAGTGCTGGGGATCATACTAGGATTGAGAGTTTGTCAGGCGAGTGCCTTAACCTTGGTAGTTTCTCTCTCATTTCAGCTTTTCAGAAAATTTACCTTGTATATGGCACATCTCTTGATAGTTTCTTTTTCTGCTTTTTTCCATTCGTTCTCTGAAGAGTCAATCATTTTATTCAGCCTTCCTTAATGTACAAATTATAGACTTGACATAAAAACCTACATTGAAGGTACAGTTTTTAGTAAAATATCTGAACACCTCAATGGACTGTGCAACTTAATGAGATATTACTGCAAACCCTAAACTAGGTGATGTGACTAAAACCATTTGTAGTATAGAAAATCTACATGCATACAAGTTATGATTGGCAAGCTGGAGACCCAGGAGAGTAACTGTAATGGCTCTTTTCTGAGCCCAGTAGCCCAAAAAGCATATTGGCCAGCAGCATAAATCAGTTTTTTAAGGTTTGAGAAGGAAAATCAGGTGATGGTGTAAGATTTGAGTCTGGGTCTAAAAGCAACTTTATAATTGTATATATCACCATGATTCAATTTTAAAAAAGAAAAAAAATGTAGGAAAAAATACATTTTTTTCTTTTTTATGTTATTTTTCAATATTTTTAAATAAAACGTTAAAGGTATATTCGTGAAAAATAAGAGCAGAGAGGGATGTCTAGCTAGAAGACAGGCAGAGAATCTGTTTTCTCTCTTCATATTTTGTTCTACTTAGGCACTCATTGGTTGTGTTATGTCCACATGCACTGGGAATGAGAATTTGTTCCACTTAGTCTGTATCACTGTATGACTGTCATCCTGTTGATCATGGATTTGCATTAGCGGGTGCTAGTAACGTCTCTATTTGTCCCAGTGCTGAGATTTTAGCAGCCTGTTCTAATTTGTCCCTCCCAACGCTGCCATATTGGAGGCTCTTTCAGGGTTAAGGGAATGAGGCCCGTTATTGTTACTGTTTTTGGCATATCGAATACGCCATGGAGAGCTTGCCAGGCTCTACCTTGCAAGTGGGATACTCTTGGTAGCTTGCTGGTCTCTCTGAGAGGAAATACTGTGTCGCTCTCTTCTGGGAGCTTTGTTTTATAGTCTCTGGATCTTGGCCACTGGTGAGATTACACCTACCAATAAAAATCTACTCTCATCCAGATACATCCTTATAGAGACACCCAAAATAATACTTAACCAATGGCTAGCGAATCAATTGAGTTACCAAATATAATCAACCATCACACAAATCAAGGACTAGTTTCATTGATCTATGTATACATGATAGCAAGGACTTTCAAAAACTTTCTAGCATCTGACAAAATTCCTTGTATATCAGGTATTAAATTTTAAGTAACTACACTAAATAGTATTTACTATTCAAATCATGGGGCTGGAGTGATACCACAGTGGTAGGGCGTTTGCCTTACAAGGGGTCAACATGGCCAACCTGAGTTCGATTCCTCTGCCCCTCTCGGAGATCCTGGCAAGCTACCTAGAGTATCTCACCCACATGGCAAAGCCTGGCAAGCTACCCGTGACGTATTCGATATGCCAAACACAGTAACAATAAGTCTCATGATGGAGACGTTACTGGACCTGATCGACCAAATCGATGAACAATGGGAGGACAGTGACAGTGATTCAAATCATGAAGATTTTCCAAAGATTTGTTATGGTTACAGACATGCTCAACTTTATAGGTCTTGATATACAATGTCACTAGCTACCTCCCTAGCAAAATGCCTATAACCCTACACCATTGTCCTTGTGTAACCTCTGATCTGATCTTCATCCTCATCTCCTTTTCCCATTGTTTGTTGAACAGTTTTGTTACATACGACCATGGGTTTCAACGAAAATGATTGATTGAATCAGTTAAAGAGTAAATTATCAATGTAATCAATGAGTAAAAAAAGTTTAATAAACATAGATTTTTTCCCTCTAATCTATTCTTAGATATTTTTATAGTTATTGCTACTTTTCCTAAATTAAAACTAGCATACTTTCCAGAGAATTTTTGAAAAAATTTCTCTAGACATTGTTTCAGATTTCATAATACTTACTGGATTGATTATGACATTCATAATCTTGAATAGTAACTATGAAGCATATTGATTCTCATATTTAAATTGACTATTCTAGTTTTTATTAACTCGGCAGTTTCACATTGTCAGAAACTAAAGACATCCTTCAAGAAATTTTTGTTAGATACCTCAAATCAAATGTGTCCTTTGGTGTCTTTTTTCCTTCTCAAAGCTGAGGAGTCTTCAAAGTTGTCATTGAGTTATAATGGTTTCAAGGGGACATCTGGAGGACTATTCAGATTAACTGTTTACAAAGCACATTTCCATAAAAAGATATTTGAGAGGTGTGTGTGGACAACGAGTAGAATTAGGGGAGAAGAGCGCTGGCCTTTTGCTAGCTGCGTATGCTCCTATCCTGGTTATTTGTTTGTTTTATTAAACCACAGTGAGCTACAGTTACCAAGTTCATGATTTGGTTTCAGTCACACAATCATCCAACATTCATCCCTTCACCAGTGTACATTT